GAAAATACAACTAAAAACCATGTCTTTACATTAATGAGACAAGATATGTCTTATTCACAGAAGGAGACGGGGCTGTTTAATGATAGAATTGATAGACGAGAATCACCGAGGCATGCTTGTTGAAATAGATTGTATGTACACAACCTACTCTCGATCACTCTTCATAATGAAGATACACCTCTTAGTACAGCTTTGTAAACAGAAGCACACTGAAACACTCATTTGAAAGCAATGTGATTTTCCCCATCTGCCAGAACTTCCTCTACAGGCTTCACTTACGAACCAGATAGCGTGTTATACAGTTTTCTTACTTCCAAACTGTACTAGAGAGGTGGGATCTCTCTTACTTGATGTCATTTTTATATTTCTCATAATAGAAAACACATTTCAGATTGAAGCAATTATGACGAGTTACGGCGGCTTTGCTTTATCGTCAGAGCAAGACATGGTCCTCCACTTTGATTTTTACACACCTTGTACACAAAACTCAGGCATAGTTTCACCAAAAAAACCCAGGCAGTTTAAAAGTATCACAAGCAGCAAGAATAAAAAAAAAGTTCAAAGGCAGCCAATAGAATTTCTATAAGGTTAGGTCAGTTAACAGCTGAAGACCTCTCCAATTTTATATTTTTCCAAAGTTACGAAGCAGGATCCTTATATTAAAGTCCACAGTATGATCATTCCACACAGGTATCAACACTGCAGCAGTATTAACTCACTTTTTAAACTTTGGAGTTTAAAACTGTTGTGGGGTTTTTTGGGGGGTTGGGGTTTTTTTTTAATTTATTTTTAATCTGTTGAGTGATCAAGCTACTTTAAAAAAATATATTTAAGCTACTTTAAAAAAATATATATTTATTTTTACTAGGTAACTTAGTTCATTACCACAGTATTAAAGTTCTGAACTACTGAAACCATGGAAAAAAAAAGTAAACACAGTCTTAATGGAAGCAGAAATAGTCAGCCACCAAAACAGGTAATAGCAAAAGTACCAGTATGAGTGGTAGCCTATGTCAATATGCTTTTCCTCCAATTTTTCCTTATTTTTTAATCTCTGAAAGAATTCTATAAATACAGGCAGGCAATGTCAAAATTTCATGGCAGTATATTAGTCTGCTGTACTCATTCCCAACTAAAAGTTTCATAAACCTCAAAAGCAAAAACACTGGGCATGGAAGAACATAGTTATTCTATATAATGGGTACCCAGGAGTTAAATTATGGCATTTACCAAGAATTAAACAACTCCTGTGGAAAAGGAGATGTGGAAGTATTTTATAAAAGGTCGTTAACATTAACAGTTTGCTCCCAGACACTTAAATGGTTGGCAAGAGAGCACTTTTAAAAAAACATGTCATTGACAAGCACAGGGTTTTTTTCATTTTGCATTCTTTAACAACAACACACACGAGAGCATGGCAGGCTTTAAAAACACACTAGATAGCCTAGATACTTTTGACACCCATCCCATTCTCATTTTCTTCTCTTTTTATCTTGGAAAGACAGAGTTAGAATTAGACATTCTGAAGATTTAGGGCTTACATTTCTTACCTTACAAAGCTTCTGGTAACGGGGAGAAGAAACTGCCATCCTCTGCAAACGATGCAACAACACCACAACTTTCTGCAGAGACGTTCTCACCACAGCCATCATTTTAAGTTTGCCACACTTCTGAAGACACCTCAGAATTTGCATTATAAATGAAGAGCAACTATCATTTCCTCCCGGTCACTGGACAATGATTTGCCAGCTTTCTGAGCATGCTCTCTTCCAGGATTGCTTTTGCGAGCCACAGGCTTTATACGTTGCAAAGGCAAAGGAGGCTGATATAGCATAAGTTTCTCTCACAAAATAACCCCACAAAACAAATGCAAAAAAAATAACAGCCTTCACGGATTCTTCTAACCGGTACTGCTCAGCTCTGCTTGTGCAGAGGGTAAATGAAGTTGTTGAGCAGCCGAGTGTCTGCCACTGTTCAGGAGCTCACTAAATAGCCAGGAAAGGTTATTAATTTAAGCCCAAGAGCTGCAGGAACAAAAAAGGATTTCCTTCAGGAAGACAGCTCCAGTGTATCACAACAGTTGTTGTCCCCTAGTAGCTGCTTTCTATCAGCAGACTGAGCGTTTGCTCCCTCACTCTGGGAAAGGATGCTCTCGCTCTCAGACTGAACGCAGCTCTGGCAGAGCTGTAGAGTGAGTGAATAACAGACTGTGTTATAAATCTTGAGAGAGGAGCAGAGGGATACCTGCCCTAATTATATCAGCCATACATTAAAGGCTAATAAATCACACAGGCGCGTCTCAAAACTAGATTACCCAACACAAAAGGAAAAACTGCAGGGGGTAAACCTCTGCTATGAAAACTGTCTTAAAGCTAATTTAGTCAAAGGGATCTCAAAGGATTCTCACTTGCGCCAGAAAGTAGGAATGTTTTTCAGGAGCCGTTTCCAATTAAAATCTTTTCCTGAATGACTTATTAAGACAAGAAAGAATAGGGTTTTGACAAATTAAAAGCATACAGTTGTGCCATTTCTCCTTTTTCTATTCATCCTTGAATCCAAAGAGCTCACATAATTTTGACGTTTTTCCCATGACAAAGCAGAATTATTTAAGCCATCTAAGCATGGCAGTAGGACATTCAAGAGCATGGAAGTGTTTTGCTACCAGTGAGGCACTCCCAATGCAATACAGCCAACACACCCCTAGGTGCAGCAGTACTGCAGTGTAACCAGACACAGCTATTTCTTGTTACTTCCAAAGGTGCTACGATGAGTCTGCTTAAACCTGTACTAAAGGGGCTGCTGTAGCAAAGGTTCAGGGAGACCATTATTGCCACAGTAGGTGGGAGACACCATCACAAGTAATTTTGAATGTGCATATTGCCACATGGACAGGTACGTACACATTTCAAGCACATCAATCGGTACAGTATGGAGGCACCAACTACAGGTAGCATGACAAGTTCATACAACCCTAGATAATGCATGGCTTAGATGCCCGTGCATTATACACTGCTTTGCCTCTTAAGCACTTTCCATCTGATGAGACGACTACCAAGTGCAGATTCTTCATACATGACATTTAAAAACTCTTCCCAACCAATTCTGCTAACACATTCTTTTCATCCTTATTTTCAGAACTTGATCAATGTTTCTGCCAGTCCTCAGGTAAACCCCTTTTAACCGTTCTGTTCCTGACCTGTCCAGCACAAACGACAACATCACTTTGAGGAAACAGAGCCTTCATTCCACTCTGTATAGAGAAATCTTACCACCTGTATTCTCCACCTTGCCAGACTCACCTTCTTTCCTCACCTTCACCACTCATTTGAACCATTCCCCTGTACTCCATTGCTCCTGGCTTATATCAACTCTTCTTTCCCACCACAAGTCCATTCCCTTTAACCTACCAGCTCTAGCCTACCATCATTAGCTGACATGCTGTTAACAAACATCTTTTGAGCAAACCTATGAAGCAGTGAAAGTCCCAAAACACTAAGGCATTCAGAAATGACTGTGCAAGAGCTCAAACCTCCTATAAGACAGAACCCACAGTCCACACCTGCCATCTGCTTTCAGTTCTGCTTTTCTCCTTCCCAGCTAATGTACAAGTTTGAATCAAGCAGCAAGACAAACAAACAGCCCACCACTAGTCATGTTGATTTTAATTTACAATAAAACAAAACTTTCAAAGTATTTTGAACACTTTTACCTCTGTA